ATATCTATATCTATATCTGTATCTATCTATCTACATCCTTCAATTCTATATTGACTTTGACTGGATAGGTCATTATTTTCTGGACAAGATACATTCATTTATTTATGTATTAAACAAATTTATATTGCCACCCGACTTACACATGACTCTGTGGTCCTTGCAACGTTAACGTTTTGCAGGGTAAGAACTCAAATAAAGAATTAAAACAAATATTTAGTGTCCTTGCCTTCTTTCTAGGGCTAGCAGAGAGTGACTGGCTCAGGGTCATCCAGTTGTCTTTATGCTTAAAGTAGGATAAGAATCACTGGACTCCCAGTTTCTAGTCTGATGACATTAACTAGTGCACCATACATACAGTATGCTTGAGGAGGAAAGGAAGGAAGGAAGGAAGGAAGGAAGGCACATGGATAGAAGGAAGGAGATGAATAGAGGAAGGGAGGGAGGAAAGGAGGAAGGAAGGAAGATTTAGCAAAGGCAATAGTCTTAAGACTTCTGATATGAAGTTCTCTGTTAACCTTATTACCAAATTTGTTTTTTTATCTGTTCTAATTTCTAAATAAATAATTTTTATTTGTTCGTTTAGAAGCTATTTTCAGTATGTGTTTTAACTAGTTAAGGGACTTAGGGAATACAATCTTGACTGTAAATATGGAGGATAAATTTTACACTTGTAAAACAGCATTAAAAGTCAAATAAAAACAAAAGACATTTCATGAGATACATGTGTTTTAAAATTCCATACTAGGTATTTTGTCCATTGTATGAAAGCCTTAATAATAAACTGCATGTCTTTTGCACTGCTGGATATAAGCAATACCTGAAAATATTCAGCAATCTTAAAATGCTATATTGGGGTAACCAATTTTCATCTAATGCTGTAGCAAACTTTTGAGTTGACAAAGCATTTATTCACCACTCTGCTAACAAACCTACTTTTTGCTAACAAACTTTAGCAACTTTCACCTGCAACTTGTGATTGTCATTTTTTTGTGTCAGATATTTAATTTAGCATTCTCCCTTTGTTGTTGTTTCTTAGGTCTTCCACACCAAAAATGACCCAGCAACTAAGAGATTTGCAGCTGGCCCACGCTCGAAAGCAGGCGGGACCATCATCCCCAAATGCCGCCAAGAGGCTTTATCGGAATCTCTCTGGAAAATTCAGAGTTAACTACATGTCATTTGATGAAGGAAACTTAGCCGGGAAAGCTGAAAAGGAGAAACAGCGAAAATCCTACCTGGTAAATAGATTTTCCTATCTGGTCTGAGTGAGTAGCTCAGTGGATTTTTAGAAGGTTCGTGGCTTCTTATTCCAAAATAAAAAGCGGGGTGAAAGAAACACAACATTCCAGATATTGGGGAGTTGCCAGCTAGGCTGGAGGGAGGGGTCAAGCGAGGCTCTAGCTTTGAATCCTTGCATAGTTACAAATGGCATAACATGGCCTCCCCCCCGAAATCCATGAAGCTTCATCTGGTCGTTCCGAAGGGAAGGCAGATAGTCTGATGAGATTCTTGTAACAGAGACAAATGAACAATTCTGGAACAAGCTTCAGTTAGTTAGTTTAGTTTAGTTTATTGTCATTGCACCTCGTACAACAAAATTAAATACCATCTTCAGTGTACATTATGACTATGAAAATAAACACAAACACACATCCTTCACTTTCTATACATTGAATTGAAAACCCCTGATGTTGCATTAATATTGCACTACACAGTAGAATTCAGTGGAGCTACTGCCCTGGGATAGAAGCTGTTTTTCAGCCTGTTTGTCCTTGTTTTAATTATCCTATACTGTCTGTTATATGGTAATAGTTCAAAGAAAAAAAAAGGGTGCCCAGGATGAGATGGATCTTTGAGAATGTTTTGAACTTTCTTAAGGCAGCGGGAGCTATAAAGCTCTTCCAAAGAGGGGAGAGGGCAACTAATGATCCTCTGGGTGATGACATTAACCCTCTGTAGCACTGTCCTATCTGCCACGGTGCAATTGGCAAACCGTACACAGGTGCAGTAAGTTATGGTGCAGTGGGAAAAGCTTGAAGCTGCTCATGATTGATTCTGGTTGCTTACATCTGACCCCCATCTCAGTGTTTCGTTCATGGAATGTTCCTCTTGGAATCAACCTTAGCTCCCCGTTTCCTGGTTCATGGTACCCGGTGGTGGCCATGAGAAGAGGGGAGCAGCCAAACTTTTATCAAATGCCATGAGAAAGAGTTTGTTTCATGAGAATGAGAGAGGCAAATTCCATTGTGGTCAATCTTTCCCTTGCTGGCTAGGAAAAAGAATTTCCCAGCCAAAGAATTCCCTTGTTTGACGGGGTATTCTGGGAGTTGAAGTCCACATATTTGAAAATTGCCAAGGTTTAGAAACACTTAGTAAGCTGATGGAGCTGCTCAACCCTTGAGGTGAGGTTTTCATGCTTCGCCACATTCGTGGCTTGCAGTTCAGTTCATGGTTGCTCAATGCTCCACATGAGGTGATGACTACGGCCAACGTATTGCGAATTGCAAGTGACGATATGAATGAATGCTCCAAATGATGTGGTGGATACAAGCCAGTCCTCGACTTATGACCACAACTGAGCCCAAAACTCCAGTTGCTAAGCAGAACAGTTGTGGAGTGAGTTTTGTGTCCCATTTCACGACCTTTCTTGCCATCGTTGTTAAGTGAATCACTGCTGGTGTTAAGTTAGTAACACAGTTGTTAAGTAAATCCAGATTCCCCATTGGGTTTGCTCATCAGATGGTCGCAAAAGGGATCGTGTGACCCTGGGACACTACAACCGCCATAAATATGAACCACTTGTCACACGTCTGAATCTTGATCACCTGAGCACGGGGATATTGCAATGGTTTGTGTGAAAAATGTCCCTTTTCCCAGTGGCATTGTAACTTTGAATGGTCACTAAATGAATTGTTGTAAATCAAGGATTACCTGTACAGTCAATGTAGTGTGTGGGTTGCAAGTGAGGAAGTAACCATACGGTAAACTGCAAGAGCTAGCTTTGGAAGTGAACGGTTCCACCTTCCTTTTCCCCGTCCCTGTGAATGTGTAGATGTATATGCTAAAAGCAAAGTAAGGCCTGCAGAATTCCAGGTGATGCTCAAATCTAGCAGTGACTTTGTTCCTCTCTGCAGTTTCAAGGCAATGCTGCTCTCTTTGAAGCTGTCGAGTTGCAAGACCTGGACAAGGTGCAAGAGCTACTCAAGCAATACAGTCTGGAGGAGCTGGATCTTAATACTCCTAATAGTGAAGGTCTCCTGCCGCTAGATATCGCCATCATGACCAACAACTCGCCCATTGCCAAGACCCTCTTGCTGGCTGGAGCCAAGGAAAGTCCTCACTGTAAGTCGGAAACTCTTACGCTCCTTCGCCCTCTTCCGAGCTCTTTCTCAGAGTAACAATAATGGAGAATATCTGTCGCTCGGGGTTGAAATGAGGGGGTCCTTGGCGCTGAGCTTGGTTGTTTCCTTGCAGATGTTTCATTACCCCAACATCATCTAGTACATCCTCGGTACTAGAAGGTTGCAGAGTGGAGGAGGAAGAGAGGAGGAAGAGACTATGGGCTCCTTGGTGCTCTCTGAGCTTGTTTGTACTTATGCAGGCGTTTCATGACCCAGCTAAGTAGAATCATCAGAGCTAGAAGGGAGTTGGGTTTGCTCTTATTTTATATACTAGTGGTTTTCTCTGTCAGTGTTGGTAGGAGCAACAGGGTAAGCCACAAATAAGTAAACCCCATTCTCTTCTAGCACTGATGATGTTACCTAGTTTGGGTAATGAAACATCTGCAAGAAGCCAACCAAGTTCAGAACCAACCAAGGATCTCTCGTTCTCATAGCTATTCTAGAAATTATCTTCTTCTAACTACTCAATAACCTGAGCTGTGGAAATTCTGTTCTTTGAACTCTGAGAATAGCCAACATTGACAACTGTAATTCTGTGGGAGAAGATCTAAGCAGCCAAAGCTATCACGATAGCATTTAAATGCCCCCATATCATCATTTAGATGCCCCTGTGAATTATTACAGATGCAGCCCGAACTACATTCTCCCACATTTTTCATAGTTGCAAGATGTTCGGAGGAGAATTGATTTGAACCGTGCAATCGTGAAAGATATAGAGATGCTTTCTTGGATGAGATGTGATTCAATCAATTTAAATCCTGCCGTTCCAACTGAAAGCTAGTGCATGAGGAATACATGACCTGAAAATTTTGATTCTGAATCTGACGGGGTGTTTGAGATGCTGCTTTGAGCAAACATTGAAGGAAACTCAACGATCTGCATCTGTGTTTGGTTGTTACTAACCGTGAGCGAATTCATCCCTTGAAAGAGCAAAATTCCAGCTTTGTTGCTTATAGTTCTGAAATCCAGCACTTGATGAATGCCCTCATTGGATCTCAAGGGCTCATCATGAATAGAACTGATGAATGAAGGCAAATATATGCATCCCAGGATAATATTACAGGACCCAATCTGGGTCAGTCACTGGTTTAGTCTTCTGAGCTTTTGAACTTGTGCTGGAGTCATCCTCTGGAAACTTTTCTCTCATCAGAATCAGGTGAGAGAGAAGTTCCCTGATAGCCCAAAAACTAAATCTCTGGTTTTGGGGACCAGATTGGATCCCAAATAGAACTGATTTCAGGTGGAAGAAGAGAACAATGAGGCGGAGTCATTATTGACTTAATTAATAAGGAACTCAGAGAAGAGCAACAGATGATGAAGTTTTTAGAGGCTTAAACGTACGGTAAATGGTTGCAGGAACTGGATAGGTCTACTCTAACAAAGAGAAGGAATAGGGATGACAAGATAGCAGTCTTCCAATGTTTGAGGGGCTGCCACAAAGAAGAGGGGGTTCAACCTATTCTCCAAAGCACCTCAAAGCAGGGCAAGATGTAAGAGATGGAAACTTATCAAAGAAGATCCAACCTAGAACTAAGAAGAAATTTCCTGACAGTGAGAACAATTAATCAGTGGGGTGGCTTACTCCCGTGGATGCTCCAACACTGGAGGTTTTTAAGAAGAGATTGGAGGGACAATTTTCCAGAATAGTTAGAGGGTCTCCTGTTTGAGTAGAAAGTTGATTAGAAGACTGATTAGAATTTTCCTTCCAACTCGGTTGCTGTGTCATTCTGCATTCTGGCTGTTTGTCTTCCAAAATTTTCAGCTCTGGTTGTTTGTGAGTGAGGAAACTAGCATCTCACAATTAGGGTCAGGAGCAGAATGCCCTTTTTTTCTGTTAAAGCCTCCGACTGAATGGGAACACAAGGGAGGTGTGACTTTGAATAAGCACTCTGTAGCCTTCCTGTCCTGGCAGTGTGACATTGTGCCTCAGGTTCTTGTACACACTCTCTAAAGAGGTTGTGCTGGAAGCAACGCTCGACTTGTCTTCTTGTTGGGTGGCCCACGGAGAGAGTATGCAGGGGCCTAGCTGTCAGCGTAGGTAATAATGGCAGCTCAGCGAAAGGATGTAGGGAGCTCTGAAAGAGGTGTGACTTTTCTTTTCTGTTCTTGCCTGTCAGGCAAACGAAGAGATTCCATGGAATAAAACCTCTGTTTTCAAAACCTCAGTGGGGGTCTCCTCCTCTTCATGCAGGTTGAGCAAGGGGCAGGTACCTCACACAGACTGCTTGCAAAGACTTTAGCGGTGAGCCCCTTAGCACTTTTCCTATACGCGACTGCTCAAAAAAGAGGCAATAAAACCAAATCTGGTGATCTCTTGTGTGGGGAGTCATATGTTCCTACCTGGATACGCTTCGCCCAATGCCCAGTTGAGGTTCTACATTCTTGTCATGCCCCTGTCAGAGTCTGAATCCAAGGAGGAAGAGGAACAGCTGATAGGGAGTGGGAGGGTGGCTCTGTTGGCTGTGGAAGAAACTGGGGAAAGGCAAAGTCCAGCTGGGCAGAGCAGGGAAGTGGTAGAACAAGGGAGAGGGAGTTCAGAAGAAGAACCAGGCCCACCCCCTCTTCATCCTAGGGCATGCAGGGAGGAACGGAGAAGAGAGCAACATGGGTTGCATGGCTTATGGGGGATGAAAGGGCCCTGATTCCCTTCACTAGCCACAGCTGGGAATGAGAGTTTAAAAGAGATGCAAGCTGAGTGCGGCGTCTTCTGGGAACAAACGTGAGTTTGTCTTGTGTTGACTTTAGTTATCTGCGTTCCTGGCATTCCTCCCAACTGGGTTGAATTCCTGCCATTCCTTCACATCTGGAATTCCTTCTCTTGCCCTGCCAGACTAATTACCTCATCTTGCCTTGATTGGACTTATAGTTACAGTTTTTGTTGACCACATTTTGGACTTGATTCTCTGCAGCCAAAGGCGAGTTTTTCTCCAGCCCATTGGGGGGAAAGTTGGAATTAATAAATAGACTCCTACTAATTATCTAACTGTGTTGTCTTTGTGCCATGTCCCGGGTCATCACAGTTCTGATGTTGGCAAATCTCAATACACGGAGGCTTACTTTTTTTTAAATTACTTTATTGTACAATTTTCTTGGTTATGTATAGGATTTCTATATTCACAGTAACAGTATACCGTCTGGGTACATTCTTTATTGAATACCGATAATTCTTATACACACAATAGTTATAACTATTATTCTCAATATCTGTTCATCTTCACTTATCCTTGTTATGAATTTTACATTATTTGATTAGACCTTCTGTTCAATTTTATCTGTAATCAATTAATCATATCAAACATCTATAAACATCATCACATTTATATCCAATTAACCTCCAAATAATCCTAAGGTTTGCTTATCTTCATTATTCCATGTTCATTATTCCATTAGACATCTATGTTTACATATCCAGATTTCTAATTTCTTACTATTTTCTACCCGCTAATAGAATAGTTCCCAAATCAAAAAGGTGATCTTTTCCCCATTTCTAATTTCTATCTTTATATTAATTCTTGATGGTTTAGCTCCTGTGTTAAACAATATTCTGCATTTATCCCTCATCTCTTGTCTGTTTTTGTATCTCAACTCTTGTTGACTTCTTGGAACGTCTCCCATACTCCCCCCATGGGATCTTGTATCTTCTTATCTCATTCATGTTTTTCTTCTACCTCTATCACTTCTTCACTATTTTGAACCTTCAATATCCCTTTCAGTGATCTTTTCCTTACTTCAGGGGTGTCTTTGGAGGCTTAATAAAGGCCCCATCAGTTGGAGTGGATTGGAATGTGGACCCTGCATGCAGCTATAGAAAGGAATTTTGCATAACCAACTCTAGGAGTAGAACGTGATGACACAGAAGCAAAACATGAAACCTACTGGAATAGGTTAATGGAGGAGGATTCGTTGTGATAGCTGCATGCAAATGCAAATGATGATGATGCGGATTTTAAAAGATTAAAAATCAAAATCCATTAGGGATTTTTTTTTTTGTTATTGTAATTTAGTAGAGGAGTGCAAAAGCTTTCATGTTGCTTAGTGCTAATTCTGGTAGGAAGAAAGGTTCATTTTTCAATGCTGTATTTCGGAGAAGGGAAGGAAGAGAAAATAGAATAGAGAATGGAATAGAGACTAGAATAAAAATAGAGCAGAACAGAATAGAATAGAAAACAGAACAGAGTGTAGAATAGAGTAGAAATAGAACAGAACAAAAAGCGTATCACAACTGCTGTATGTTCCAGTTACAAGTTTTATTCTTCTGCTCAATAAATAAATCGTAGCAACTCTTTTCTGATCAGGAATCCCTTCTCCTTTTCTTTCTCCACCTCCTCCATTTCTTCTTCTTCTTATCATCATTAATGCATAGTAATGTTTAGAGTACATTTACAGCTTCTTATTCAAGAACTTGTTTTGAATTAGAAAGCAGATCTTGTGGTTTGGACTGACCAGAGATGGACCAAAGTTTCTGCCCGCAAACTTTGTCTCTAAATCTGCAAGAAAAAGAAACCAGGAGAAGCAGCTCTGGTTTTATCTAAAAATTTGAATCTTAGATGATCTCCCCAGTATTGCTTAGGAAATAAGGATTGAGGAAAATGACTTGGATTTGTAGAATTGCTAGGAACGGGCCATTCTCGAGGTCTACAGCAGAATCTCCCAACTTTGGCCACTTTAAGATGTGTGAACTTCAGTTCTCAGAATTCCCCAGCCAGTTGTGTTGGCCAAGGTTGGGAAACCCTGGTCTAAAGCCATAGCGCAGGGGGTCTTCAAACTTGACAGCTTTAACACTTGTGGACTTCAACTCCCAGAATTCCTCCTCCAATCATGTTAGCTCAGGAATTCTAGGAGTTGAAGTCCACAAGTCTTAAACTTGCCAAGTTTGAAGGCCCTTGCCACAGAGAATCATTTCCAATATGTAGAGAGGTGTCATGCCCTTGTTAGAATCAGACTCTGATGGAGAGGAGGAACAGCCGACAGGGAGTGGAGGTGTGGCTCCAGAGGTTGGGGAGGAGGTTGGGGAAGGGCAGAGGCTGGCTGGGCAGTCAGAGGAAGAACGAGACCCATCCCCTCTTCATCCTAGGACATGCAGGGAGGAACGGAGAAGGAAACAACTTGGCTTACGAGAGAGGAAGTGGCCATGATCCCTCTCTTTGGTTGCAGCTGAGGAGACTAGTATACAAGAGAGATGATTAAAACACAGCGTTGCCAGAAGCAAAGTGTGTGTTATTTTGGGCTGAAGTTATCTTGGTTGGCATCCTTCCAACAGACTGTGCCTTGTTATCTCCTTGAAGTTGGTAATTACTTACTCTGGTCTGTTGTGGAAATTCCTTCATTGTAATTTGTTTTAGTTTTTTATTTTACCTCTATCTGCTCATTAAGTTCGGACTGTATTGCTTTCTTTTGAAGACTATTTTTGAATAAGTTTTATCTCCAGTTGAGTATTATTGAACAATGGGGCTAAGTTGGAGGCATTAAAGGACATTTATTTACATTTTGGATTTTGTTACATTTGTGTTACGCTCCGGGTCATCACAAGAGGATTGTTCCTTCTCTCTTCTTCCTTTTTTCCCCCTTTAACTTTTTCATCTTCTTTTTTTCTCTTAAGTTGTAAGCCTGGAGAGCCGGTCTTTACATCTGGCAACCCTAGTTCGGGAAGCAGAACAGCGGGTGAACGATCTCACCGCTCAGGTGGTGAACGAGGTGCCCAACGCAGAAAGTTCAGAAAAAGAGAAACAGCTGAAGGCCTGGGAATGGCGATACCGGCTTTACAAGCGCATGAATGCTGGATTTGAGCATGCACGTGAGTCTGCAGGAAAAATAGGAACCTCTATACCACCATTCAGAAACATCAGGAATTTTGACCTATTTGGAATATTGGAAGAAACATGCAATCCCACTTTGAGGAAGATGGGAGGTTAAGACATTTGATATACATACATACATACATACATACATACATACATACATACATACATACATACATAC